CCAGACCCGAACCACTCGAGTGAACCTGCCTCCCCCACACTCTCAGATAGTACATTCCAGACCCTAACCAGTCACCGCATAAAATAAATCTTTCCCTCATGTCTCCATTGGTTCTATTTTATGGTTGTCTTTCAAACTCTAGAACTTTCTCTTCTAATCACCTTTATGTAAAATTTATAGCAGACAGACTGGACATTTGTGCTCTACTATGTTTCCCCACAGCCTACCTCTTTCCATCCTAGCAGCGTATTCTTCAGTTTTTATTCTTTCCAGGGAATTGGCAGAGCACCCTGAAGGAAAAAACAAGTAAAACTGAAGAAAGTGACACACTGGTCTGAGTCATTTTGTGACTGTGAGCTGGAACACACGTTCATCTATTTTCAGGCAATACTGTGTTTTCCCTTTGGTCAAGGCCAGCTTTGGCTGCCCTGTTCCTAACTGCCTTCATGAGTGACTTGCTTTGGCCATTTCAGAGGGAAGTTAATAGTCGACCACCTTGCTGTGGGTCTAGAATCACATATCGGCCAAACCACGTTAGGATGGCAGATTTCCTTCCTTGAAAGGCATGAATGGAATAGATCGTCTTTAAAAAATAATCAATGACAGTTACCAGGTCGTCTTCTCAGTTCCAGATTTATTGATTTTAAGTTCTAACAGTCACCAAGAGCAAAATCTGAACCATTGCTCCGGAGATTATAGAACCACAAATGCACTATGACCCTCTTATTACTTTCTCCTCTGTTTTAGTTATCCTGCCTCCCCTTTACTGCTGCTCTGCCATTCACCTCAACCTCTGCCATGGTGGAATGACTTTCACATTCTAGTTTCTCTGAGCGAAGAAATTCCTCCTGAATTTCCAATGGATGGTCTTATATTTATGGCCCTGAGTGGTGGTATTAGCCAACAGTGGAAACATTTTCTCCACATTGGTTCTGTCGTCTGTCTAATCAAACCCTTTTCAATAATTTTAAAGACTTTAATTTTAGATCACCTACCTTTATACTAAAGCCTGCTCTGCTTTCCAAGACATATATAACCTTGCAGCTCTGGTTGTAAATGTTATCTGCCTCAACCTTCTTTGCACAATATAGCAAAACCGTGATCTTATCATTTCGAATGCCCTATCATTCTAAGATGTGGAGGTGCTGGTGTTGGACTGGATTGGACAAGGTTAAAAATCACACGACACCAGGTTATAGTCCAAACCTGTTGGACTATAACCTGGTGTGTGTGAGTTTTGACCTCTACCATTCTAAGATGCATTTGCCAGATATCTATTCCAAACTCAAATTCAATAATCTATCCCAGATCTATGGCCATTGTCAATATGTTATTTAATGGGGGAGCTTTCTTTGAAAGTCACATATTCTCACAGTGGTGTTATCAGTGGTGGTTTCTGATGCCACTCCTCTCAGTTAATTCTATCCCAATCATTCACCTTGTTGCTACGATGTAAACCCTGGCTGTCATCAGTTAGCCAGCAGTCTAACCCCAAGCACCCCGAAGGAATAATCCAAACCACTGACCCTAACACCTCGAAATGAGCATTTCAATCCCAAAATCCAACACTTTCATCCTAATGACTGTGTGTTGATTATAGGAGTCAGGATGTCATGTTGTGACTGTACAGCACATTGATTAGGCCACTTTTTGGAGTTCTGCGTGCAATTCTGGTCTCCCTGCTATGAGAAAGATGTTGTTAAACTTGAAAGGGTTCAGAAAAGATTTACAAGGATGTGGCCAGGTTTGGAGGGTTTGAGCTACAGGAAGAGGCTGAATAGGCTGGGGCTATTTTCCCTGGAACATTGGAGGCTGAGGGGTCACTCTATACAGGTTTATAAAATCATGAGGGGCATGGATAGGGTGAATAGACAAGGTCTTTTCTCCAGGGTAGTGGAGTCCAAAACTAGAGGGGCATAGGTTTAAGGTGAGAGGGAAAGATTTAAAAAAGACCTAAGGGGTAACATTTTCACACAGAGGGTGGTGCGTGTAAGGAATGAGCTGCCAGAGGAAGTGATGAAGGCTGGTACAGTTACAACATTTAAAATGCATTTGGGTGAGTACATGAATAGGAACGGTTTGAGGGATATGGGCCAAATGCTGGCAAATGGGACTAGATTGATTTAAGATACCTGGTTGGCACGGATGGGTTCGATTGAAGGGTATGGTTCCATGCTGTACATCTCTATGACTGACTGCTCACCACTACCTTCTCTAGGGTCGTTAGGGATCGGGAATAATGTAGGTGTAGGCAGTGTGCCCACCTCCCATGAACTGAATAACACCCATACCCCACCCCTTCATAACACACACACATGAATTGTCTGGTGTCTATCATCACTCTATCCTCTTTGATCTCTCCCACCCTCCTCTTCTATTGCAGATTGTGTGAATAACAGTGGCTGAAGGGTAATCTCTTCATTGGGCAGTATGACCATGGTCTGCCCTGTTTCTTTTGCTTTCGCTGAAGAGTGGGCACAAGGAGGATGAGGATTTCAGAGTCACCGTGAGGGGGTGAGGAGAGGGGTTTTGGCGTTTGAGAGCAGAGAGAATTTATTTTCCAGGCTGGCAAAGTACAGGTCGGAGATCGAAACCTGTGAATGAGAAACCAGCAGTAGTCCAGCAACTCCCAAATTCTTTGGAATTCCTGATCTCGGAGGACTGAGGAAGCTCAGGTACTGAGCTGGTTCAAGAAGGAAATCAAGAGATTTCTGGAGACTAATGACATCAAGAGAAATTGGGAGAGTGTTGGAAAGAACGCGAAGAAGGAGCATCTTATACTTATATTCCATATTTAACATGCAGAAGTGTGTGGGAAATTCCCATGGGAATGGCGATCATCATGTTAATAATTACCAAAAGCCAAATGACTCCATTTTAAACCATAGATTCAGTCTCCAGCATCTAAAGTCTCCTGTATTCCAATGTTGACCAAGGACCAAGAAGATAGATGAGATTGACACGGATTACAGACTGACAGACTGGGAAGTCTACATATATATACAGAGAAGCATTGCCTGGATAAAAGTTCAAGTTGTTCTGCTTTGGAGGTGATTTCTGAGAAATGTGTTGCTCCTTGCTGCACCCCTGGGGTTTTGTGCTTGGATTTGGATCTGCACTTGCTCACCATCAGCCTTTACTGCAGCGTACCACGCATCTCTACCCGAGAGAAACTCACTCCTTAATCATCTGCCACTCAATAGGTCAGTAGTGGAACATGGTGTTCTTACCAGCAGGATGCAGAAAACCCAACACAAGATTAGCTTCCTGGACATGACCAAGAAACAGTGCCCTGTGAAACACAGACTTTCACATCCACATGTTGCTGACATATTTTCTTTAATTCATTAGGTGTTGGCATCATCGGCCAGGCCAGCGTCTGCTGAGGAGCAGAACAGGCTCGAGGGGTCGAATTGGCTCCTCGGGGCTCTTATTGCTTAGAGGGTTTTTAAGGATCAACCAGATTGCTGTGGATCTGGAGTCACATGTAGACCAGACTGGGAAAAGATTTCCTTCCTGAAGGGGCATTACTGAGCCACATGGATTTTTACAACAATTGTTTTTTTCACTAGGATCCAGAGTATAAGGGTGGCACGGTGGTTAACACTGCTGCTTCGCAGCACCTGGGTTCCATTCTGGCCTTGGGTGACCGTCTGTGTGGAGTTTGCACATTCTCCCTGTGTTTGTGTGGGTTTCCTCCGGGTGCTCCAGTTTCCTCCCACAGTCCAAAGGCGTGCAGGTTAGGGTAGATTGGCCGTGCTAAATTGTCCAGTAGTGCCCAGGGATGTGCAGGTTAGGGTGGATTGGCCATGGGAAATGCAGGGTTACAGGGATAGGGTACGGGGTGGGTCTGGGTGGGATACTGTTCAGAGGTTTGGTGTGGACTCAATGGGCTGAATGGCCTCTTAATGCAGTGCAGGAAGTCTATGATTCTAAGTGCTATTATGCACAACTGAGCGACCTGTCTGCCAGCAAAATCACCGTTAACTAGTACCCACTACCAGTAAAAACACCTGTGTAGCCAATTCAATATTTACACCCTAAGCCCATTGTGAACCCCCTCAATCTGTTGTTATAGGGGATTGCTGCATGCAACACCCTCCATCCCAGGTTCCCCGATGGAAGGAGGGAGGACTCCCATATAGAGAGCCCTCCACTGGGGATCCGTGCCACTCGGTGGTAAATAAGCATGCCAAGGCATGCCTGGGCAGCAGACATAGGAGTCGAAGTGGATGGTGTGAAGCGGCAGTCTGTACAATAATCATATCTTCACAAGGAAGAAAGGCACGGTTAACTTACCCAAGAGGTGGCTCAGGTTGTGGGGTATGGGCTCCTGAGGGAAGTTCAGGACTTTGGGGCCAATGTGAAATTCTGCCCGAGCAGGGGTACAGCATCCTCCAACTGGTGGACTGTGTCTGGTCTGTGCGCTGCAGTATTTAGACATCGGATGGCATTGGACACGAGCCGGGCATCTACTGCTGCCCTGCTGGCCAATTCCTCCAGCAGCATCTAGCCCAGGCCTCCATCATCCAGAACGTCTCCAATTCCGGTCACCATGTGGCCAAGGCCCTCCCCCACTGCCTGCCTTTTAATTACAAATTGAACTTAGATTTCGCTAGCTGCTGTGGCGGGATTTGAACCCATAGCACAAGAACATTACCTCGGGCCTCCAGGTTACTAGCTCAGTGACAAGGTCACTGCTGCACCATAGTCACTAGAACCTACACCTCAGATTCATGCCAGGGAACGGATTCATGCCAGGGGACTGATTCATGCCAGGGGACTGATTCATGCCAGGGGAACTGATTCATGCCAGGGGACTGATTCATGCTAGGGGACTGATTCATGCCAGGAGACTGATTCATGCTAGGGGACTGTTGGCAACGCCTGTGGAATCTCACCATTCCCCAGCTGATCAATGTCACGTTCACCGGGGCTGTCACTTCGATCCAGTTCATGTTTGCTGAGGCCAGTCCAAAGCAGTGGATGCTCAGATCCATTGCAGTGACTGGAATTCCCACAGCCACAGGGAGTCACAGATGGTGGCCAATCACAAGGGATTACGCTCCACAGTGCGCTGTTGGTCTGCACTGCAAGATACCCAGGGAGGCTGCTACAATGCCTTCCCCCTGTCACTGTCACACCTACCACAGAGATTGTCACCTTCAAAATCAAAGTTATGCCTAATGACTTCAGAGAGGACCCCTACAAGATGGTGGCACTGGTGGACTAGGTAGCTCCTGAGCCTGGGGCTCGTCCACTCTGTCTGCTTTTCTTTTCTCGTTTTTTACTTTTCTTTCTAATTTTTGCGTCTACTTACCTTCTGGGGAGACCTCAGTGGTGATGGCATCAGTGGTGTTGGCATTGGCGAGGAAGGCAGAAGGTGGTAGGAAGGTGGCCTTGTTGGGGGTCTACAACATGGCAGCAGCTGGTGAGCCTGGAGCAGGGCCTTGCGCTGGTGCCGAGGAAGTGGCTGGCAAAGGGGTGTGAGCATGGGACCTGGTATCAGCTACTACATCCACAGAGGCAACGTTGGCAAGGTAGGCCCTGTGGCAGAAGTTGGTGCCTGCGAATTGACAACTTCAATGTTGGTTGGGTCTTGTGTAGATGGCAGCGAAGCGGTGGTGGAAGGGTTATGGATTCTCTTTGAGCTATTTCCTTTTTAAAATTATTCTTAAATTATTCAAAATGGTGCCAAACCATAGGAACAGTGGAAGCTTTTCACTGTAAAATCCACCTGTCGATAAAATCATTCATGCACACAACTAACAAACAGCATCGCAAGCTGAGTTCGCGGTTGGCTGGGTGGTGGCTTTCTGATGCGCAGTGATGTGAGCAGCACGGGTTCAATTCCTGTGCCAGTTGAGGTCACCATGACGGACTCTCCTTCTCAATCTCTCCTCTTGCCTGAGATGTGGTGACGCTGAGATTAAACCACCACCTGTCATCTCTCTGTAATGAGGGAGCACGGCTACAATGACTTTGCTTCACCTCGCCCCCTGAGGGTTGATAAAGATGTAATCCAGGTGTCTGCTTGTTAAAACAGATACAGTTCTGACAGGGCTGGATGTGGGAATGATGACCCTTCTGGCTGAGTTGGGCAGTCTGAGCTCAGGAGAAATGAGAGTGGTGGAATTCTCTCCCACAGAAAGCTGCGGAGGCCAAGTCACTGAATATATTCAAGAAAGAAAGATATATTTCTAGGAGACAAAAGTGTCAAGCTGTACGGGGAGATAAGAGGAACATAGAGATAGCGGATTAGCTATGATCATGCTGAATAGCAGAGCAAGCTTGATGGGCTGAATGGCCTACTCCTGCTCCTGTTATTTTATGTTTCTACTGGGGTTCTCTTCAGGGTAGGGAAACTAAAGTTTCCAAAATGGTCCGCATTGGCACCTTGTACATTGTACAGCAGAGAGGACTGGAGCTGCAGGAAGAGAGAACACAAAACCTTCTACATCGTGGCAGGAGCAGCAGGAAGAGAAGGAGCAACAGGGAGGGGGCAGGAAGGTGGCCAGCTTCCCAGGGTGCCCACGGCAGACTGAGTCAGGAAGCCGTCAGCTAATCTAAGGCATTGTAACCAGCTTGCACACCAACACAGAACCCATTATATTCCCTTCTCATGCGCTGTAGCTGCAGCATCAAAGCAGCTCCTATCCCCGGTCAATGATCCATCCCTCTCACTGAACATTCACCATCAGCTTCTACTCATCATCTCAGATCCTCAAGGCTTTACACAAGTAACAGGCAATGCTGAGGGTGGACAATACAGCTTCGGAATGGGAATGAATATTGAAGGGCAAAGTGAAAAGCTGAACAAAAACCGAAAGAACTGCGGACGCTGCGAATCAGGAACAAAAACGAAGTTGCTGGAAAAGCTTCACCAGGTCTGGCAGCATCTGTGAAGGAAAAACAGAGTTAACGTTTTGGGTCCGGTAATAGGATCTGAGGAAGGGTCACCGGACCCGAAACGTTAACTCTGTTTTTGCCTTCACAGATGCTGCCAGGCCTGGTGAGCTTTTCCAGCAACTTTGTTTTTGCTCCTGAAAATCTGAACAGTTATAAACACCCAAGAGATCTCCCTTATGAAGCTCAACCCTTGACGTTCAATGGCATTAGTATCGCTGAATCCTCCAGTAGGAGTCGACTCTCCTGCTCCTCTGATGCTGCCTGGCCTGCTGTGTTCCTCCAGCTCCACACTGTGTTGACTCAGCATACTAGGCGTTAGTATTGATCAGAAACTGAACTGGATCAGGCATTAAAACACTTGAGCACTGCTGAAAAACGACACGTTTTGTCTTGCATTCATCAGGACATCGGTCTACAGCACAAAAAAAGGCCCTTTAGCCCATCGAGTTTGTGCTGATCAAAAACAACCATAACAATTCTAGTTCCAGCACTTGCCCATAGCCTTGCTGCCTTGGTATCGCAAGTGTACATCTAAATGCTGCTTCAATATGATGAGGCAATGAGTTCCAGATTCCCACCACCCTCTGGTATGAAAAGGTTTTCCTCATATCTCCTTTAAATCTCCTGACCCTTACCTTAAATGTACGATCCCTGGTCAATGATTCTCCCATGAAAGGGAAAAGTTCCTTCCTATCTATCCTATCTATGCCCCTCATAATGTTACATATCTCGACCATGTCCCCTCTCAGTCTCCTCTGCTCCAAGGCATCGCACGACACCAGGTTATAGTCCAATGTATTTATTTGAAAACACAAGCTTTTGGAGCCTCAGTCCTTCTTCAGGTGTTAGTGAGAGGGATAGTATCAGACACAGAGTTTGTAAGTAAAGATCAAAGTTTGAGGATGTGTTAAATAAACCTAAGATGCTGTCCACCCCAGTCCAACACCAGTCCAACATGCTCCAAAGAGTACAGCCCCAGTCTGTCTAATCTCTCTCCAGCCCAGGCAACATCCCGGTAAATCTTCTCTGCACCCTCTCCAATGCAATCACATCCCTCCTATAATGTGGATTCCAGGACGGCACACAGTATTCCAGCTGTGGCCTAACCAACATTTTACACAGTTCCAAGATAATTTTCCTGCTCTTAAACTCTCACATTCATCAGGACACTTCACAATAATGCCATTGTAAAGGGAAATGAACATTTATACTGTACTAAAGCAGATTAGTGATTGGTTGGCAAATAGACTGTCATTGCTAGTGAATTGGAAAGATAAAGCACCTCAATGGTTTGAGCAATAGATGAAGCTAAGTGTTTCACACTGCTATTATGTAGGTCCAAACCAAGTGGTGTTCACCTCTGACAGGATGCTACCATCAAATCAAAAGATGCTGTGCCTATCACACAAATAAGTAATGTGGTATATGAATTTTAGTGCCAGTGTGATACCAGGTGTGTGGGCTAAGATCCCAAAGCCTGGTGTATTGTATCAAACAGCGTATCAAATACATAATGCTGATAAAAGACAACTTATGTCATGTATCATCGTCTTGTAATCATCAGGACAATTCACATGAATACCAAAATAAAGGGAAAACATCATTTATAGCATATAAGAGCAGAGTGTTGATTAGTTGGATGATGGGCTGATAGAAATATTGCCATGGTCTAGGCTACAGAGAGAAGAAGCAAAGGTGAAAATAGTGAAGTCTTTGACAATCATTTTCAGATCCTTTCTTGCTTAAGGTGTAGTGCAAGAGGACCACAGGAACTGTTAACATTATACCATTGTGTTAAAAGGGAGGCAAGGATAGCCCGAGTGATCACCAGCCTAAGCTCCGTGGTAAGTAAATTAATGGTATAAAACAGGCTGAGAGGCAGTGCTGGCTGGTCAAATGTGATGAGTCTCTAGGCATTGAGTAACGGTGAGGACACCTGGAAAATGTATAAACATGTGGACTGATATCCAGGAGAAGGCTGGGGAGTTCAGAGTAAATATAGCAGCCATTAGTGAACAATGACACCACCTACAAACTGGAGGAACAGCACGTCATATTCCACCTCGGGAGCCTACAGCCCAATGGCCTAAATGTGGACTTTACTAGCTTCAAAATCTCCCCACCCCCGGCCTCATCCCATGACCAACTCTCCCTCTCATCCTCACCTCCTTGACCTGACACAACCTGTCCATCATCTCTCCCACCTATCCACCCCTCCCAACCTCACTGACCAATCCCCACTAATCCCTACCTGTCCTCACCTACCACCATCCCACCTACCTTCCCCAGCGCCACCCCTCCTCTCTCTATTTCTGAGCTCCCTTCCCCCTCCCCGTTTCTGAAGAAGGGTCCCCACTCAAAACGTCAACTTTCCTGCTCCTCTGAAGCTGCCGAGCCTGCTGTGTTCCTCCAGCTCTGCACTAATTTATCTCCTGGATTTTTTTTACAACAATGCATATGTGGTATCAATTAGACTAGCTTTTTAAATCCAGATTTTATTGAATTGAAATTGCCCCATCGGCCATGGTGGGATTTGAACCTAGGTCGCTAGTCCAGTGATAGAACCACAACACCAATACTCCAGCTTCCATTCCATGTGGTGGATCCTGGATTTCAATTCAGGAGCGAGGAACTACACTTGTTTGGTCTCTGGGGCTGGCTTCTTCCTGTTATTCACCAGAAACAGGATCTCTCTGTGGATCCTTACAACCCACAGCATGATGCCCATGGGTGTATTAGAGAACCACTTCTCCCATTGAGACCCCCATCTCTCAGGTAACTATATCTTTCTTGGCGGTTACACAGCAGAGCCAATTCTGGCTCGTGTTGGGTCCTTGTAAACAGCGAAATTTGGACAGGTAGCACAAACTGTCAGCAGGTCGCCTGCTTTGGTTTGTTGGGAAATCTGGACACTAGATCTCTGAACATCTCTGAAATCAAGGTCCTCAGACTCCTGGTTCCCCCAAACTCCTGGTTTCAGCTTGTCATCGTTAGCTATCAAGGTTAAAGCTCCTTGTTTGTGCCCAGACAACATGAGACACAGGTCTTCTTGATGGAACACATAGCTTTTTCCCTCCTGGCCAGTTTTTATGTGATTGTTTGTGGTTTTTCAAAGGACAGGTTCAATCTGATAATAAAGGGAAACAGCCTTCTGAAATAGGATAATCCAGGAGAGGGACTGGATCGCATGCCAGAAACCCTAATGACTGAGCAGCGTGACAATGTTGTAAAGACTATACATGGTTTTTGGAATTTAAACTGGGAACATAAAATAAGTTTGGATGCTGTTGTGCTGCAGAGAATATACTAAGCATTACTGTTTTTTTTTAGAAACTTTAGTGGTACTGTGTGGTAAAAACTGAAAGAACTGCAGATGCTGTAAATCAGGAATAAAAACTGAAGTTGCTGGAAAAGCTCAGCAGGTCTGGCAGCATTTGTGAAGAAAATATCAGTCACCGAACCAGAAACGTTAACTCTGATTTTTTCCTTCACAGATGCTGCCAGACCTGCTGAGCTTTTCCAGCAACTTCTGTTTTTGTTGCAAGTGTGTGGTGTTCACTTATCACAGTCAGAAGTCATACGTTACCACGTTATAGTTCAACAGGTTTATTTGAAATGACAAGCTTTTGCCTGACGAAGGGGCAGCGCTATGAAAGCTTGTGATTTTGAATAAACCTGTTGGCCTGTAACCTGGTAACGTGTGACCTCTGACTTTGTCCACCCCAGTCCAACACCGGCACCTTCACATCATTCACTTATCATCTATTCACTTACATGACACAAGGTAATGTAACTGTTGGAGAACATAGATTTGATACCTTTGTGTGACAAGCAGGTACCACGTGCCTTTGGGTTGAAGAAGGTACCTAGTAACAGCTTTTGGATTATTAAGCTGTAGTTTATCACAGGCCTCAGAGAGAGTAGTTGAACGTATTCCTCTGGAAAACTTGCAAGCAAAGATAGGGGTCTTTGTGTAGGGAAAAACCACACTCTCTGAAATGAAGAACTTCAAACAAAGAGCTAGGTCCAATTGACTGGATACCAAATTGGGGACCTTCTATTGATCTCCAGTTGACAACATTGTGGTATTGTCACCAAAATTAAAAAAAAAATCTATTTGGAACTCACCTCATTGCAGTTTGGTGTCTTATCCATGGGATTTGGACTATTTTTGCCTATGTTTTCCACCCAAGATATGTTTGCAGAGATGTCTGTCCGATTTGTGAATGAATGTGTATGTGTTTGGGTTTAAAGGGAATATAGTTTAAGTTTGCATAGTTTGCACTTTGCAACATGTTAAAGAATAAGTTTGCACATTAATTAATTTTTGTTGTTAAATTGGTGTGAGTCTGCTTTGTTCTAGATAGCACTCAAAGTCAGGTAAGTTAGCCAAATTAACCATTCTGGTGATTCCATTGGACGTTTACATATTCATGATAGTTTGTGGGAGCCATGGGGCTTGATTATCAGTACATTGCCCCCATTAGGATCATGACAACGTGTATAATATGTTATCGTTATGTTTGGAATTTTGAGTTTGTTTTAAAATAAGGGACTGATGAATTTTGGTTAGTTGTGTGAAGTTTTATTTTGAAAAAGGTCAGAAAGTCATTTGGAACAGGGACGTACATACGTCAATTCCATGAAAGCATGTGACTGCAGTCAACTGCCTGGGAGAAACTCTGGGAGATAATGGATAAAATATTAATGTCGTTGAGTTTAAGACACATTAAGTTTAATTTTGACTTCAGAACAGAAGGTTCATTGTCTTAGTTCTGAAGAACCTGGATATTCAGTTCAGAGGAGAACAGTTTTTCTCAGAGCAGAAGAATACTGTGTTTTTTTTTTCAGCTGAGTTAGTTAAGGGGAACCAGTCACTTCAGCAGAAGTGGTTTATTGTCTATGGAACTTCTAAGTCAGGAGAGTTTGTATAGACATCTTCAGGTTGCTGGAAATGAGAAAGTTTAGGTCGACAGAGTTGTGGAAAATTCATGCCATCAGACTTGGAAAGGAAAAAAAAAAGTCTCATCAGTTCAAGGGAAAGGAATTAGAAAGAATCAGAAACATAAAGATTTAAAAAGCTGAGATCAGATTGATATTTCTCTGGGGTTGAGTCTCTGTAAATGGTTGTGTTGGGAAATAGGTCAAAACTTTGTTTTAATGCATGTGTTAAGATCTTTCTAATCATCCTCTATATCTACATAGCTTTGTCTTTTTTTTTCTTTTGTATAATAAACTTGTGTTCTGTCATTAAAGAGCAACTACAGCCACGCGCCAAGAGATTTCAGTGACTAACAACCACAGTAACCAACAGCAAACATAAAGAAAGATGATCTATCAAGCCAGGTTTTTTCGGGAAGTGGAGTTGTCCCGTACTACCATTAGCTGGGAACATAATAACTGATGTATGAATGACAGTTGCATTATATGTATATGAAAAAGATCAACAAGAAAGCTTGGAGCAAAACACATTAAATGCAAACAAATTCGCAGAGAAGCCCATAGGAAATTTGCTTAACCCACTTTTGGCAGCGTTTTAACTAAAGTTTTTAATCGTTTAGGAAATTGGTTGCCTTGTCAGGTCAAATACCATTGGAAGTGGGTTAATTAAATGCACAGTGCTGTGCTGATTAGCACAAGAAAGGATTACAGAATCTAAAATTAATTTGCTTCATTAATATATACATACACACATGGTTGCAGCAGCTCACATATGGGGAGTATGCAGATAGATACAATCTGACAAACTGTACCAGTGATACTCGGCACCTTCCAGTTAAGCTGAACTCTGTAACATTTTGGGATTTCTGCATTCATTCAATTCAGGATTCTTGTGAGTGTCCAAATTCTCTTAATCCACGCTGCACCATCCAATCTCTGAAATTCTCCACCTTAAACCTCTCAACTATGGATCTATCAACTCCATTAATCATCCTAAACAGCTCAATTAGTAAACTGATTAACATTCAATGCTCAAGGGAACACCAAAGCCTAGTCAACGCGACCTGCCCTGTTTTAGCAACAGTGTCTTTCTTTGAGCTGTATCTGCTCCAAGGCCAACACATTCTCCAGAGGGTGCAATGCCCAGCACAGAGCTCAATACTGCAGGGGGGTACAACCGGAGCTTTACGAAATTGGAATAGAGAGAATTGGTTCAGTGTTTAATCTGAAAGTTAGGCTCTTAAAGCTGTAAACCATCGTGATTCTTGTTGTGCCCTAAGGCCATTATATCCAGAAAGAAGCAAACACAGAGAATGTTGGAGAAAATGAGCAGGTCTGGCAACATCTGTGGAGAGATAGAGACACACAGAGTTAATATTTTGAGCCTAGTATGACTCTACTTCAGAACTCAGTCGTACCAGACTCAAGATGTTAACTCTGTCTCTCTCTCAACAGATGCTGCCAGACCTGCTGAGTTTTTCCAGCATTCTCTGCATTTGATTCAGGTTTTCAACTTCCACCGAATTTTGCTTTTATGTCTTGGAAGAGATAAGATATACCAAAGGCTGCCCAAGGTTAAGGTAGGGAGCAGGCGATGGCTGAGTGACATCATCACTGCAACTATTAATTCATAGCCTCAGGTAACGTTCTGATGGGGCAGATTACTGCAGATGCTGGAATCTGTACTGAAAAACAACAAATGCTGGAGATCACAGTGGGTCAGACAGCGTCCATGGAGAGAGAGCAAGCTAATGTTTCGAGTCTAGATGACTCTTCATCAGAGCTGACGTGAAGTGTGGAGGGGGCAGCTTTTATGCCAAAATTGGGGGGTGGTTGGGGGGGAGGCGTGGGGGCGGTGTGATGGTGATGGGTGTAGAGTGCTGGGGGAGAAAAGATGTTGGTAGTTCAGATGAAGTGATCAGAATGTGAGAATGGCAGGACAATGGTGTGTCTAACTGCCAGACTGGAGAAACAGACACTCTCACTGGGGTGTGGGGAGGAGAGCGAGGACATGGTGACAGAGAAAGTACCAAGTCAAGCTAAAAGAAAGGGAAGGATTGGGTTCATAATTTGGAGGTGCTAAGCTCAATATTAAGTCGAGAAGGCTGTAAAGTTCCTAGTCTGAAGATGAGATGTTGTCCCTCCAGTGTGTGCTGTGATTCTCTGGAACACTGCAATATGCCAATGACAGACAAATGGGCATGTGAGCAGGACGCTGTTAAAGGGACCGGCTACGGGAAAGTCAGGGCCATGCTTGTGCATGGACTGGAGGGGTTCCGTAATGTGGTCACCTGGTCTGTGTTTGGTTTCTCCAATGTGCAGTAGGCCACATTGGGTGCGCGAGTACAATACACAAGATTGGAGGAAGTACAGGTGAAATGCTGCTTCACCTGGAAAGACTGTTTAGGCCCTTGGATGGTGAGCAGGGAGGAGGTGAAGGAGTGGCACTGCACCCTCTGTTGTTACACAGGAAGGTGCCGGGGAAGGGGTGGGGTGGTGTTCGTAGTTGAGGAATGGGCTAGGGTTTCCCGGAGGGAACAATCCCTATGGAATGCAGGTGGGGGAGAGTGAGGGGAAGATGTGTTTGGTGGTGGCATTCTGCTGGAATTGTCTGAAATGGCGGAGAATGATCTTACCCTTCTCCGTGCCCCCCCACAACAAATCCATATTTTTACTGAACTGAAACTTCACTGTCTCTCCTGGCTGGGTTTCAGCCCATTTCCGCAGAACATTAGCCTGGCTCTCTGGTTAATTGTCCACCTTCCTAGTTTTAGGAGGAAGGTGGAAATGCTTTTGGTGTTGAAGTTTGGGAAGTAGGTCGAGGACCCTATGAATGACAGGGGCAGGGAATTGGTGAGAGGGGTTGAGAGGAAGATCTATCCATGGCAGTCACAGACACATACAGCAAAAAAAAAACAGACCCTTTGGTCCAACCAGTCCATGCCAACCATATTCCCAAACTCCTCACATCCCATCACACCCCCTCCCCGCAACAAAAACAAAGACAGAATCCCCCTCGTCCTCACGTATCACCCCACTAACCTCCAGATTCAATGTTTCATTCTCCGGCACTTCTGCCACCTGCAATCTGACCCCACTACCAAAGATATATTCCCTCCCCACCCATATCTGCCTCCCGTAGGGACCGCTCTCTCCACAACTCCCTCATCCGCTCCACACTCCCGTCCAGCCCCACCACCCCGGCACCTTTCCCTGCAACCGCAGGAAGTGCTACACCTGCCCCTACACCTCCCTCCTCATCCCCATCCAAAGAACCAAAAAAAACCTTTTACATCAGACAGAGGTTCACCTGCACATCCGCCAATGTGGTCTACTGCATCCGCTGCTCCCGATGCGGCCTCCTCTATATCGGTGAGACCAAGCAGAGGCTCAGAGACCGCTTTGTAGAGCACTTGCGCACTGTTCGTGACAAACAACAATACCTCCCAGTCACGAACCATTTCAACTCCCCCTCCCACTCCCATGGTGACATGTCTATCCTGGGCCTCCTCCAGCGTCACAATGACACCACCTGCAAACTGGAGGAGCAGCACCTCATATTCCGCCTTGGGAGCCTGCAGCCCGATGGTCTCAATGTGGACTTTACTAGTTTCAAAATCTCCCCACCCCGGCTTCATCCCGTGACCAACCCTCCCTCTCATCCCCGTGTCCTTGACCTGACACAACCTGTCCATCATCTCTCCCACCTATCCATCCCTCCCACCTCACTGACCAATCCCCGCCACTGCCTACCTGCACTCACCTATCACCATCCCACCTACCTTCCCCAGCCCCACCCCTCCTCTCTCTATTTATTTCTGAGCTCCCTTCCCCCTCCCCGTTTCTGAAGAAGGGTTCCGACCCGAAACGTTAGCTTTCCTGCTCCTCTGATGCTGCCTGGCCTGCTGTGTTCCTCCAGCTCCACACTGTGTTATCTCTGATTCCAGCATCGGCAGTTCTTACTATCTCTTCCCAAACTAAACTAATTCTGCCTGCCTGCACTTGGCCCATATCCCTCCAAACATTTCTTGTTCATGAACTTATCCAAATATCTTTCAAATATTGTAACTGTACCTGCATCCACCACTTTCCCTATAAGTTCAATCCACACACGAACCACTCCCTATGTAAAAAAGTTGTCCTTCGTATCTTTTTTAAATCTTTCTCCTCTCTCCTTAAAAATATGCTCCCTAGTTTTGGACCCTTGCAGGGAAAAGACCCTTGTCATTCACCTATACCTATACCCTTCATGATTTTATAAACCTCAATAAGGTCACCCCTCCACATTCTACATTCTAATGAAAAAGGTCACAGCTTCTCCAGCCTCTTCTCATAACTCAAACCCTACATTTCCAGCAACATCTTTTCTGAACCATCTCCAATTTAATAATATCCTTCATATAACAGAGCAACCAGAACTGCATATAATACTCCAGAAGAGGCCTCACCAACATATTGTACAACCTCAACATGACATCCCAACTCCCATACTCAAAGGTCTGAGCAATGAAGGCAAGTGTGTTAAATGTCGTCTTAATCAGTTCTGCCTCAAATCAGTGAATCTAAGGAAGGATGTAAAAAGAGACTGTATGGAGATTTGCAGAGTATGGAGTTGGAAATCACGGAGGGAAGATCTCTAGAGAAGATGACATCGGTAACTTGATGTTTGGTGATGAAGTTCATGGTCCTGCTGGAACAGGAGCTGACAGGTTGGAGAAAAGGCTCCACAAAACAGGGGCCTGGACCGTAACAACAACCAACAGTGCCTTTGCTCTCAGCAGCTTTAATAGCAGCCTCCCTTTTGGACCTGCAAGAACCAGGGTGCTGTAAAATCACTGAATCACATAAGTCTTCCAGTGCAGAAAGAGGGCATTTGGCCAATGAGCCCTACTGGCAAGTTAAATGAGCATCATTACCTAGAGCCAATCTCCTGCCCTCTCCCTGTACCTTTGCACATTGCTTGGAATAAAATAATAAATCAAGTTGGTGTGTAATGCACTGCCTGCAAGTATGGGCGAGGCAGGTTCAGTTGTGCCAAGCAAGAGGGCACTGGATGATTATTTGAATAGAGATAATGTGCAGGGAATAGAAACGGTATAGACATGATGGGCCGAATGGCCTCCTTCTGCACCACAACAATATTATGATTCTGTGAATGTCTCAATTGAACCTGCTCATACCAGACTTTGCAGGCAGCAAATTCCTAACCCAACAACTTGGTGAGGGAAAAGGTTTCTTCCTCACTCCACCCTTGCTGCTTTTGTCGATCATTGTAAATTTATACCCTCTTGTTCTTGAGATAGTAGGAACTGCAGATGCTGGAGAATCAGAGATAACAAGGTGTAGAGCTGGATGAACACAGCAGGCCAAGCAGCATCAGAGGAGCAGGAAGGCTGACGTTTCAGGCCTAGACCCCCTCTTGTTCTTGTTCCTTCCATTGCCCTCTAGTGAAACTGAGATGGCTGATGTCACTTCACCCATTGTAACAAGATCCAGAGAGAGGGTTAAAAGGCCAGGGAGGTGAGCATGAAGATGAAATGAGATTTCTGAAGGTAGCGAGGTGAGGGTAAGTAGACCTGGTCAGCGAGATGGGCAGGAGCTAAAGGCCATCTGATAAAAAGTCATTAATCTGAAACATTAAGTTCATTTCTCCTGCACAGACACAGACAGTTTCTATTTTACTCTGTGTCTCTGCAGCATCCACATTGCCCTAAGGTGCAGATTTGCACATCCCATAAATGATCATTGGAAATAATTTCAGGATGTAAACATCGTTCATTGACATGGTCCAACCGCATCAGCAATAAACACAAAGTAGGTGAATAAAGGACAGAAAAATATCAACAAAGCAGGGAGGCTCAGTTTTAGAGGGACAGAACTGACATAAACTGACACAGAGTACTGTGACCAGTCTTGGTATCCATTTATAAAACTACATTATAATAAATTTATAATTATAATGAATCCATTTATAAAGGAGAAGGCGCATAAAGGGTTCATTAGAATGATACTAGAACTGAGAGGTAATAATTACCATGAATCACTGAATGAGCTGGAGCACTTATCTCTACAAAAGACTAAGGGGTGGACTGATAGAGATTATCAAAATTACTTTCAGTAGGGTAGGCGTAGAAAAGACGTTTCCACTGACAGGGAGTTCACAACTGGTGAATGGGAATATAAGATATTCACCAACATTCCAATAAGAAATTCAGAAGAAACCACTTTACTAATTGAGAGGTGAGACCCTTGGATTGGCTAGTACTCGGAGTTGAGAGCAGGCTAAATACATTTAAAGGACATCGAAATAAGCACATGATGGAGAAAGAGATGGAAGGATGTGTGGATTTGGGTGATGTGAAGTCATGTGACAATCATTGAGAGCATGGACCAGTTGGGCCGAATGGTCACTTTCTGAGCACAGGATCAGCCTCATTTGTGGCACCCATGCTGCCTGTTTAAGAAGCCATTCCCTACACACATAGGCTGTCAGGCATCATGCTGTCAATCTCGCGAGGTCTTGCTGGCCAACTCTGTGCTCAGCAACACTGAGTTTTTGACTCCACGGCTTAATTTGTGGAGAGCCAGGCCTGTCAAAAAATCAAGGATCCCCTCTCATCCCACCTCCCCCCCACTAAAGAAATACACTGGTGCAGAAGTTTCTGGAAAGGTGACAGATTTAGCTTTGGGCTTCACTCCAGATTATCTGTCCAGCTTTACACTCCAGAGGTATCTGCAAGTCAATGGAGCTATTTGCCAACAGCTGGGAGACTCACTCATAAGGAACGGCTAATTGGCCAGGAGACTGACTGCAAGTGGAACTCAGTGGGGGCACCTATCTCAGGAAAACCTCAGCACCCTTCAGAGAGCACTGGGAGAATACTGGAAGAGACTAACTAAGAGCTTTCTTTGTGTCAATGAGGAAAGGGGGTGGATTCGATGCTAATTTTGCTGTGGGTGGTGACTGGTACACAATGCAAAATGTAGTTTCAGAGACAGAACTTACTCGAACATATTAACTTGACGGAGGTGTACTCTTGGCCACAGTCCTTCCGGTACTGACAGTGTAACCAGTTCAGGAGACACAAGCCATTCCCACATTGTAGCTCTTCCTTCTTACATGGCAGGATGCTTTGTTCCGCTGATTAAATTAAAGGAGGCGGAAATTAATGCACAGCAAAAGTAGTCAAAGTCAGTTCCTGATCAATACATCCTGATAGAAGTGCAGACACACATTCCTGTTTGGTTGCAATGTACGGAATTCCAATAGATGCAGCTATTCCTACTCATTCCCTTTGTACAGAATTCCACAAGCAAATACATTGCCACAGAGGGACTTGGGAACTTCATGGTACCATCATTCGCTTATTTACCAAGGCTAATGTGCTGGAGATATGGGTTCAAATCCTACCCTGGCAGCTACAGGAAATTTAAATGACATAAATAAACCTAGAATTGAAAAAATCATCTTAGCAATGGTAACCATGAAGCTATTATTAATTATTGAGACATATAGGGTTTTTAAGTTAATGTTTGTTAGGAAATCTGCCCTCCTGACCTATATAAGAGTCCAACCTGCATTAATATGGCAGAATCTTAACTACAGTAAACTTTCTTTCAATCGGCACTCTTCATAAACCAGCAAAACTAATATACCTCAAATATCAGAAGTTTACTGAGTTATCTGGATCTCCATGAAATTAGTTGAGGGTGTAAATGAGAAGGCTGTCTGCCAGTAAGTTTTATTTAATGCAAAGTTGCATTATTATTTAAGTGATTTATGTTGTAAATAAGTTACAAAAGTGATGTGTATACACCCTGCATTACATTTCTATTACTTAGTGTGTGTTTTTACTTTGATTATGAGGACCTCCTGATCAACTGGAAAATTTGATCAACCGACGCACTCCTGATCCCATAGATGCCAGATAATGAAATGTTTGCTTGTAGTACCTGAAACAGCTACATATCTCAAGCACAATTAGGATAGGTAATAAATAAGAAAATTCATCCCTATTGTATCCCAAATCCCAAAGCACTAAGTGTATTCCCATTGTGTAGAATTATTGATTGAAACTAGCCTCAAGTTTTCTGAAGTTCATCTCACTATCAAGGCTGACTTTGAGACAATACTATATGTTTGGAATATGGTCACTGATGTCTAAAATATCATACTGTAGCGCAGAACTTGAGAATTGCTGAAAACACATAACTCAATGAAGCTTTGTACCTTGTATTTATCAGTTTAATTCACAAAACATAGTAATGTAAAAGGAAAAGAACGTTTTGCACTATATGAGAAGAGAGTGCTGATTGGTTATCATATGGCCTCTGATGGTCAATAGAATTGCCAGGGAGAATGTACCAGGTTGCTGCCAAGCTTTGTTTAAATTTTAAACAGGTAGATTGACACTAATTCATCAAGGCATTGCCCTGAGGAATGATCCAGAGAATGGATGTCACCTGTCTTATTAAGTTGAAACAGATTTCAGTCTGTAAGGAATGGGGCTCTGTACATTAATACCTGCAGCTTCCAGAATGTACAAAGCACCGCACTGTGAGCTGAATGACAATCCCAAACTGGCTAGCAGCATAATGCTTCGCACTCGGGATTACTCAGCAAATGTTGTTCAATTGTTCAATCGCATCTAATGTTGGGTACTGTTGCGAGTTTTGCAAGTGCGTGATAGTTGGGTACAGTTAGGACCTTGCTTGTTGCAAATACTCGAAGGAACAAGTGGTTTAATATAAGCAGTCTTTGGGACCTATAGCCTACTTGCCTGGCATCACACTGGCACTGAAATTCATACAGCACATTACTCAGTTGTCTGCCAGGCAGACCATCAGTTGGTTTGACAGTAGCACCCTGTCAGCAATGAACACCACTCCATGTTGTTAGTGCACAGTAGCATCATGTAACAACTACCTTCACCACTTGGTCAAACATTTGAGATACCTTACCCTTCCAGGTAGACTGGGGACTACTAGGAATTTTGCACTGAGAAACGATCTGATCAGGGCAGTCGCAGGATGGCTTTGATGCTCTTTATTTCAGTATTAAACTTGCAGTGTGACCAATTCTATCTGGCCCAATTTACCAGCATGCTGAAAAGAACCAAAGTGGAACTGTGTGAACTGACCAGTGAATGAAGGCTTGCAGTAAATAATTACAGAGAAACCTCTGGCTGATTCTTAAGTAGGACATTGAGGAGACTGAGTTCATTCGCCTGCTCCATTTGACAGGTGAATCTGAATGCAGGTTGGTGCCCACTAAAACAAGTGAGGAAATTCTCATGAGCAACCTGGGAATTCTAACACGGCAAACGTACCAGCTACATGTGGGAAATGTGTAAGGGGTAGGAGGTTAAGTGTCATCCATCAAGATGGGTTTCTCATGGAACCCAGCACAGGTATATTGTGAGAGCTGGCAGTAGTGGGGATCTGCTGGCTAAACTATCTATTTGGGAATCCATGGGGTCATCAAAACTGAACATGACTGTTTGAGTTGCTGAGTTCATCAGTTCAGTGGTGGCAAATCTAGAGCAACATGATGTAGTGCTGCAGTGTAACAATCTATGGTGTCCTCAAATGGTACATTAGTAAATACATAAGAACTAGGAACAGGAGTAGGCCATTCAGCCCCTCGAGCCTGCTCCATCATTCAATACGATCATGACTCATCTCATCACGGCCTCAGCTCTACTTCCCTGCTCACTCTCCATTATCTTTCAACCTGTTACTACTTAAAAATGTGTCACTCTCTTCCTTAACTTTATTCAGTGTCCCAACATCCGCCACACTCTGGAAAAGGGAATTTCACAGATCCATGATCCTTTGAGAGAAGTAATTCCTCCTCATCTCTGTTTTAAATCTGCTCCCCTTTATCCAAGAACTATGACCTGTCAATCTAGATTGCCTCACATGAGGAAACATCCTCTTTATGTCAACTTTATCAAGCCCCTTTAGCATATTATATACCTTCATTAGATCTCTTCTTGTTCTTCTAAACTCAAACAACTATAGGCCTAAATTACTCAAATATCTTCTCATTTCATTTCATGGAATTAAGCAAGTGAAACTAGACCAGCAATGTTAAAGGCGGGGCGCACAAGACATCGCCTTGATGTTGATATGCAAGATCCATTGATCATTGCAATGCTGAAGGAATCCTTCGCTTTGTACATGGAAAACTTGCCTAAAGCTGGTTGCAGCAATTCACACAACCATGTGGTCAGTTTACGCTGGGCAGAACTGGACAGGGATACGATCGGGTATTGTGTATCTTGGGCAGCCTGTAGATTCACAGACTCCAGGCTGTCAATGAGTCCAGGAACAGAGGGAGCAGTCAACATTTACCACATCATTGGTCAACTCCCAGCTGAAGGCATTAAGCAATGACAAACCCCTCTGCTGTGCCACCTAGTTTTACTGCCTACACCCTGGGAGCCCACTCTAGGTGTGTGTGTGAATTTTGCTGCATTCCTCATCCTACCTTCCATTGTTTGGTGATCAGCAAGACTGCACCTACTCATGTGATTTATCTTTCATTACCTTTTATCTCTGACCATATGGATTCTATTTTTGTCTTGCTGATAACTGCATCCTTTTTCAACCCACTATTATTATCGCATTTCTGAAGAAGAACTGTTTCTCCACTTCCCTTTTTCCTTCTGTCTTTTTGACATCGGTTATGCTGCAATGTTTTATTCCCAGCCCTGACTTTCATGCCACTGTGCCTCAGTAAACCCTGTTACATCTGGTTCCACTCCACAAATAAAACCAGAAAGTGCTGGAGAAACTCAGCAGGGAGCAGAGCTGAATTTATAAGCTGGATGTTACCTATCCCTGTTGGGTGTATTTCCTGTGGGGGAAAGCATGTAAAATATATCAGACACTTAATTCACCCTCTCCGAACCCACTGCAGGCTGCTCTCTCATTAGAGAGAGGGGTCTGCTGGGTGGGTTAACCTGAGGGTCACCGCACCCCAGGCAAGGGGAGAGGTTGAGAAGGAGAGTCCTTCATGGTAACCTCAGCCAGCGTGGGACTTGAACCCATCGGCATCACTCTGCATCAGGAACCAGCCATTCAACCAGCTGAGCTAACCAACACCCAGCTGCCTAATACTAAAAGAGTGGGTGGGAGTCAAACATCAGCAAACATTCATTATATATGAACAAATATTGAATGGTCAATTGAGGTTGTTCAAAAGCTTGGACTCAGCCCAATATTACCTTGCCCTTGCTATGATAGGGTTGATAAGGACAGGAGAGAGCAGCCCTCCCTTTCTCTTCACCAGTTTTTAAAAGTGTGAGGAAGAAAGGGCTAGGGTTAAGGTCAGTACTATCCTTGAAGATGCTCATTGCACACTATGGGTATCCCTCAAGAAAATAGCAAGCTTCCTTTATTTGCATGGACTTTAAAACCTCTAATCCCTACACCTCTGTTCCTGAGGTTGCCAGACTGCCTCTACCCAAAACCCTTTGCTTGTCTGGGTCTGGGATTTGTCTTGGGAATGGTTGCAGTACCAGCAGCAGCCACTATGGAGCTGGAGCTGCTAGCCCTCCTCAGAGGGTGGGATTTCCTGTTCCTGAGGGGCAGATGCCTGACTCTGCATTAATCTAACTGCCCAAAGCATGTTCTGGCTGCTCAGGGCAGGCTTCTCTTGGGCTGGTTGGCTGCTTGGCCACCAACTTTCCTTTGGTGTTGGGCCAAACCATGTACCCAACCCCGGCTCCTGTAAATTTCCAAATTCAAGATGACTGTGCATCAGAACTCAGCAAATAAACATCTCTAATAAAATCAGAGATTGCTGGAAAATCTCAGCAGGTCTGGTTGCATCTGTGGAGAGAAAGCAGAGTTAACGTTTCAGGTCCAGTGACCCTCCTTCACAACTTCAGTGGTGCCAGACCTGCTGAGTTTTTCCAGCAATATCTGATTTTGTTGGAGATGTTTATTTGCTGAGTTCTGATGCACAGTCATCTCGAATTTCAGATTTTCCAGCAATTTCTGATTTTCTTTCTGATTTGCAGCCTCCGCAGTTCTTAGGGTTTTTTTTTGTTTCGTGAAATAAACACCTCCAATTCCCCAATTTTAATTTTGACTCATATTTAATTGGTTTTCCTCTCACTTTATGCATCTTTTTAGATGCCTTTTCTACAACTGTGTCCCTGTGCTATCAATGCCCTCCCTTACTTTATCCTTTCCTAAGTTCTCCTGCCCTGTCGTGTTTACATTTTGATTGCTTACATTTCTTGTAGACCACTTCCCTTATTTTGCTAGTTTTAAGCCTTTGTCCCCTCCCTCTTCGTCCTATTCAGTCAGGCAAGTATCCCATCTGGTTCAGGTGGAGCCCATCCCATTGGTAAAGCTCCTTCCTGAAAATGAGCTCTCTCTTTCCTAACTTAGCTCTTTAGCTATGGGTCAAGTTTCCTGATCTGTTTGCCTCTATGCCAGTTCACCTTTTAATTCTGAGGCCTGACTTCTGATAATCTTTCAGTTGAAGCTCCTCTCTGCTGTTGCCCATGTCATTTGCACCAATGAGACAACTGAATGTAACTTCAACATTTCTCACCAGCCATCCTAAGATATCTTGCACCGTGGGGCACAGGGTAGGCCATACCCTTCAAGATGCTTGTTTTCAGCTGCAGAGCTGTCATCATCCATCTTCTCTAAAGCCTCAATTACTGGTGCATTTCCATTCTGCTCTTAGCGCACTGGGTAGCCTCTGGGCTACAGCGGGATAGTACAGATGCATTCCATGGGAACTTAGTATAAGTGGGACAAAGGAATAGTAGGACATCTTGATAGGCTTAGAGAAGTGGTGTGGGAGGCGGCTTCCATAGAAAGTAAGGAGGACTGCAGATCGATCGGACCAGGTAGGCTGTTTTCAGAGTTGTTCATACTTTGCAAGTTCTTTCTATAGTGTTCGATTGCTCTGTATTTGATGATGTGAGTGTGTTTACTGTTTACGCTCACTGTGCTGGATTTCAGGAGGTCCACAACTGCTCATGGAAGAGTACCTCTAGGTGTCCCAGAATTATGGAGGACCCGGGATAAGAGTAAGGTGAGGGCACAATGGTGGTGGTGGTTGGGAGTCATAGGATGAGGGGTCAGGTGGTTCAGAAGCGAGAGCAAGATTAGAGAAATTGGGCTTATTCTCCTTGAAGCAGAGAAGATTAAAAGGTGACCTCATCGACATTTTGAAAATTATGAACAATTTTGACAAGGCAAAGAAGAATATTCTGTTCCCAATAGTTGGTAGGTCATTATCTAGGGGATCACAATTTCAAGACTATCAGCAAGAGAGCTAGGAATGAGGTGAGAAGAGTCATAAGATCCTAACAATGGAGATAGAAGCCATTCAGCGCATTGACTCAGCACAGACCCTCCCATCCCCATAACCCAGCATTAACTATGGCTAGTCCCCCTAACCCTGGACACTATGGGCAATTTAGCATGGCCAATCCACCAAACCTACACATCTTTGGACTGTGGGAGGAAACCCACACAGAGAGCCACCCAAAGGTGGAATTGAACCCAGTTCCCTAGTGCTACGATACAGCAGTGCGACCCACTGAGCCACCCCCATCTTTACTCAGAGAATTGTTAGGTATTGGAATAGTGATGGAGACAGATTCCATCAGAGGTTTCAAAAGAGAGCTGGATTTTTTTTGAAAATGAAGAAGTTGGAGGGTTATGGATAGAGGGCTGGAGAGTGAGATCAGTTAGGTAGCTCTTTCAGGAGCCAGTACAGACATAGTAGGAACTGCAGATGTTGGAGAATCTGAGATAACAAGGTGTAGAGCTGGATGAACACAGCAGGCCAAGCAGCATCAGAGGAGCAGGAAGGCTGACGTTTCGGGCCGAGACCCTTCATCAGAAATGGGGAAGGGGAAGGGGGTTCTGAAATAAATAGG